CGACGGATAAACACGCTTAGATCGAATCAAAAATTTGATACTGATCTGTAATATATATACTAAATATGGCCCTTGAACCTTCCTCTGGGGAGTTGCATACATTTTCATTTAGAAAGTTATTAATAAGCACACGTTTTATAGGGACAAAGAGTTTGTATGCTATTTCTGCCAATGTGATACAACAAAATAATTAAATTTCGCAATTGCTTAGCTCATAGACATAAATGCAAAGGACTAATTTTAATGCATAATAGCGACATGCGCTGCTAGAAATATATATAGTAAGTGATTAGAATGCATTGTCCTGGCTTCTTTTTATATACAATTCTAAGGGATGTTGCTAGGAAAATTTAATTAAAGTTCAAATTAAATGGTAATGAAAAAAAATCTGACAATAATTTATTCATTATTACTTGAACACCTTTATGGCAATAAATTACTTGGTACACTCAGCTTTAACGGGAGATGATTTCGAGTTCCCATCTCCGAGTTTATTATTTGCATAAATTTGTTTGCTTTACACAGTCATAATAGATGTAAAGTTTTTAAATTATGCTGAAATGTATTAAATACATACGTTTTAAAAACAACTTTTGCTATAATTCTACAATAATGGAGAACATTCAACAAACTAATAAAAAAAAAAAAAAAAAAGTGCGAAAACAAACTGAAATTATATGAAATCTAAGTTGGAAATATGTGTTGGATTTATACTTAGAGTTAAATATCGATAATAAATCAATGACTTCAATACACATATATGTGTGTACGTGTAAAATATAACGTTAAATTAGTCTACGCAACCACTAGAATTATATAACGAGAAAGTTTCGTTACTATTTGGTATTTGGAGAAAGTTTAATCAACTGTGGAATGCAGAAAATAGCTGAAAACCCGGAAAAGCGTAACGGAAAGGTGTGCGATAGTTTCGTAATACAACAAAAACTAATATTTATGAATTTACATATGTTTATGCGGTTACATAAAGTGGGGTGAAGTAAAACTATTTCTTACCTCCTTTTCTTCCTCTTAACTGCCTTAGAGTATTTATGCGGGGCGTTTATTTCTCTATAACAACAATTTTTGAGGAAATAAACGTATATATGCATATGAAAAACCAACTATTAATTACAATTCTATAATTTTTAAGAAGTATAGCAATATTTATGATTTCATGCATATATATGATTTCGTGCATATGTATGTGCGATTAGAATTGTAGCGTTTATTACATGGCGTTGCTTCAATTAGTAACTGTTTACAATAGAACTAAAATAAATCTTAAACTTTTGATATTATTGTACTACAATATAAAAAGAGCCTTATTAAGTTATATTTGCATTAAGAATGCTTGACAAATGAATTTAGTAAGATTCATTGATTATCGGTACATATTTTTCAAATGCCTCAACTTCTGCTTTGGAAAGGAAAACCAGTAAGTAGTAGTTGAAGAGAAGAATCATTCAGGTCATTGCTTGATTATACCCTACACGACTTGCGTTACAGACGTACGTAATGACCAGAAGGGCTTAAAATAGATCCACTTTTCATTATATCTAAGCTTGCCTCTCCACCTGCCCGTCTAATGTCTGTCCATGTATTTTCTTATTCCACTTACCGCTGTTATATTTGGATGAAATTTGGTCTACTGATGTGCTTCGGAAGTGGATTTCTTGGATTGCACTCATATACACATATAAGAATTTTCACGAAGAGTACGCTCTTCATAAAAAGGATTAATTTTTTGGATCAACATGATTGATGGAATTTTTGGGGAAATTTGGTTCAGATAGGTTTAATTTTTAGACCCCATCGTTGAAAGCCAGCTCTCATGTGGAAAGATGTGAAAGTCTAAATTCTAGTTTTTTATGACGGAAAATGAAAAATAATAAAATTTTTGGGAAGTAATTTAAGCTTACCATATTTGGATTACGCCATGCGATGTTTTAGGCATCCTTTAATATGCGAACTTTCATGAAGAGTATGCCTTTGCATGAAAATAATGTGTAATTGTGGTGGCATTATCACAAAAACGAGTTAACAAGTGTACTAGAACCAGTTGTGTATGGTATCTGGTGGTTGACTTTGCCTGAAGAACAATATCAACTGGATTTTTTCAACGCTTACATTAAAATATTTTAAACGTCCAAAAATTTTATTTTTCGAATATAATCACAATTGATTGCACGACTAATTGCATAAGGCAATTTAAGGTGGATTAAATGGTTCTCCTTAACGCATTGTCGAGAGATGAAGATTTTGTCAAAAGGTTTGTAACATTCAGAAAGGATCTTCAGAGATCCCATGAAATATATATAAAAATTTGACCAGCATTTAATTACAATATATAACTTGAATCTGTCTTACGCAACAGAGCGATTTATCTGTTCTTGATTTGCTGAATTGCAGAATAACAAGAGAAATATGTTATTTCTGAGGTTAGTAAAAATCTGGGGAGTAATCACATAACTGAAAGTTGGGCTACATTTTCGCATTCAGCTGTTTAGCAAGAACACCTGAAAACCTAAGCAAGGGTTAAATTTTTCATACTTGATTAACTCTTGGATTTTTAATTTGTCAAGTGTATCTATCCATTTTTCGTTTCCAAACGCGAAAATCGCCAGTCTCAGAGCAACTCTAAAGCGAATAATATGCAGTCATTAAAGTGTTAATATGAAATTTTATTAATAATGGGATTATTATTATTCTTTATTTTATTATTTAACTTAAAATGATTAATGTCTTGAAACCCATCAGTTGCGCAAATATTGACAATGATCGACTTTACACAACTCTATTAGTTCAGTTTATTTAACTTACAATGCATTTTCATTAATGCATTAACGTATATAAGAGATAGTAAGCTGATGTATCGATTCATTCATTACAAGTTATAATTGTGAAGGCAAACATGAAGTTCATTCCAAATTGCTGGTTCATTCCAATATTGATGTTAACCGTTGTTTTTGTCTTCATGGCATCACAAGTTACAGCGGACCAAGTGGACGATATCCTTAAGGCCATTAAAAATGCAAAACCAGGAGATGGCGTAAACGTAATTCACACCGCTCTGAATTTACCATAGATCGATTTATTGAGTCTTTTAGCTCCGTATAATAATTTTGTGTAAAATTCAATAAGAAACGACTTTTTGGAAACTTAAATCATTAATTCAACATAGGCCAGTGGGGAAGCGCTTTGCAATTATATTAAAAATATAAATAATATGACATAATAAACGAAGTAGTTAGTAATAATTTGTGTTTTCTTCAATATCTCTGACTCGTTTCTCTTGTGCATAAGTTTTTTGAAGATCTATTTCAAGAAAACCTTTTTTCTTGTGACTTTTTGGCTTGCTTTTAAGCTATGTCTCGATGATACGCAATTTTAGCGAAAGTGCCGCGGACGGTGATTTCACAGCTCATCGCATTTAAGATGGGTGTAAAATTGACATATGATAGTCACAATGAACACTACTTTGCGTCTTTGCGAAAAGTTGTGATTCGACCAAAACTTTTTTACGAAATATTCAAATACTCGGAGTGATTGTAGTGATGACTGCTAATTGCAGAATTCCAGTTTGGGCTTGAAATGTTTAAAAAAGTGGAATGGCAATCGTTAATAAAAATGGAGTCATTTGATTTATATAGCAAAAATATCGGTTACAGTTCAAATCCCTTTTTTCTTCTACTAGAAATTCGTAATTGTCTTAATTCATTGTCCGCCTGCCTATCACATTTTCTATATATTTTTTTTTACTGCTCCTCATTGCGATGCACAATCCTTATGAGAGATATGAAATCAATATATTGCACAGTTTCTTTGTCTTTGATGGGTTTCCAGCTGTTTCAGACAGACAGGAAGGTTCTTTCCCGCAAATATTTGCCAAACATATATGTGTGGTGTTTGGTCGCTAACCTTGCGGCATAAAGTTCGTAACACTTATTTACAAGAGAACCAAGAATTCCTTTTTACTTTTACAAAGTAAAAGTTCCTCACACATATAGAAAAGAATTTGCGTTAACTTATGCGGATTTAGAAGAAGAAAGAGGCACATACAAGTCACTTTCCAGGCTGTCAAAACTCTTAAGCTTGGCAAGCAATTGAAGGAACGAGTAGGTCAATTTCTGAACTCAGTATCTCGCATGGGAATTTCTTGCACATGCTTTGATACTTTTTTAAAAATTACATCTGCAGAATAACGAATGCATGCAGTATTTCGAAAGAATTCGATTTATAGGATTTATCGTATCAAAACGAAGAATCCCGATCGACATACCCCGATTTCATTCACATCCAATTCCTAAATATCGATGAACATTTTAAAGCGATTTTGGTGAGATTTTAATCCGGTGTTACTTAAGGCTCTCGGTATGTGGCATTAACTTTTCAATTCCAACCCGAACTCGATTTGCATTTGCCGATTACTGTAGAGAGAGCCTCTAAACTTACAAGGTGTTCTCCCTGATGTTGCTGCAATCATTTATTACTGGCGGGCTTAAGAATATTAACTTGTTGTTCTTGTTGATCTACATTTGATTAAGGAACACTTTAAAATAGGTTTGAGAAGCGTAAGAAAGTCTAAATTACACTGCAATATCTCTTGACACCTAGACTGGTCTTAAAACAGAAGACATGCCTAGTTCAACATGTACAATTATCTATTGCCTGACCTTCACAGTTATACTAGAAAAGCTGAGTCACTTATTTTATGCGTGATATTTATGGTTTCTAAGGGTCTTCTCGCATTAGACAAGTGACCCCTACTTTTTCGACAACATTGTTGATGGGAAGTACGTTATTTTTTAAATTAGATAAAGGGAAGATATGTTGAATGTTTGGCACAGAAATCTTAATGAAAAGGTGAAAAAAGATTTTGAACACTTTTTCAAATTAGACAAATTTTTTCAGTAATTTATTTTAAAATTTAAGAAAGATTTTTAATTTTTTTATTTGTAAAGGAAAAGAGTTTAAATATATTTCGGAACAATTGTGTTCGAATTTTGAGAAAGCACCGCAGTCCTGTGAATGTTATGCTAAGTAAATAAATTTTAGTTAAGAAAATTTGTAAGGAAAGAATTTTTCCACAATTTACATAAAATGTTTTTGTGATTAAATTTTTTAGTTAAATGTTCAGTAAATCAATGTAGATTCAGTTTCTGTTGTCCGCCGTCGGGATTCTGAGGCTTATAGTGTTTGGGTGGCGGAGGAATTAATGGTATTTGACCAACATTTGGTCCAGGAGGTCCATGTGGTTGCTGGTGGAAATGCTGTCCATTCATTGGTGGTTGAAACATATAGTTGTTATTAAAATTATGCGGGTTAGGTGGATTGAGTGGTGTTTGACCATAATTGTAGTCACAGCAAGGGCGTTGACCCGAAGGATGTCCATAATCAGGATAATTAATGCTGTTAGGTGAATTGTAATCAGGAGGCATTTGGATAAATGGGGAACCACAAGGTAGGGAATTGGGACCACAAGGAGGCTGTTCATGTTGCCATGATGGGGGGTAATAGATCTGTTGTCCCTGACCATAGCCGCTAGGAATGAACGGACCTGTTATGGTAATAGGGTAGTCAAACTCAAAACTCTCAAGATTTTGATAATCATTGGTTGGATTAAAATTATGCTTGCTCGGAGAAGGTTGCGGCCATGGATTGGGATAATGTCCTTGAACTTGCCCTGGATTTCCAGGAGTTGGATAACGATTTCCATAATTTGGAGGCAAATTGTAATGAGGATCCGTCGTTGGAGGATGTCCTTTTACTCCATTATTGCTTGGATAATCTGGAATATAATCAAATTAAAATGCCCATTAGAACAGGAAAACTTGTTTTCATTCCAATTGTGAGAATTACTTTCGTGTGCTAAGACAGAATAAAGACGTAATAGAATTATACTAACTACAATTAACTTCATCTTATAAATGAACGTTTAAGTAAAAGTGTTTTACATTTTTTATATGACTTGAAAACAATGAAAAATATAATGTGAAAAGTAAGGCAGTGAGAGAGAGAGTTAAAATGTGAAATGTAGTTTAAATGTTTGTTTTCAATGTCATAATATTTGTGTTTGTTAATAATAAAATGAAAATTATTTATATTAAGTTTTTATTATAATTAAAATAAAAGAGAAGTCTGTAATCACCTTAAGGGGAACATTGGAGTTCAGTTAATTATCGCTTACTGGAATTTGAATTTAAATGTGACTTGTTTGCTATCGCTTGTGATGAATAAGTAACAGATGAAAGTAAAAATTAGTTGAAAAATTGTTTATCATATGTAACGTCTTGGTTGAGCTCTAAACATTATAGATTCTCACAATTTGAATTTCTGTAAATGGCTTAACTCAAGTCTAGGTTACAATCATATACTTACGGCCGTTATGAGCTATGTTTAAAGCTAACGGAAATTGTGCTTTAGACCGATTTTATACGAAATCCTTGACGCTAATAAGAACTGACATCGGCTATAATAAGGAAGTTATTGTGAAAGTTGTTGAAAAGTGTATGGATTCCTTCGAAGTTCTTTCAGTTTTTAGTAATCGTAGGCAGGCTTGATCAGTAAAAATCTATTTAAGTTATTTTAAAAACAAGATGAAGTTTTGTTTAAAAAAAACCTTATTTTTTAATCCGTGCGAGTGTCAAACCGATAGCCTAAGATGCGAGTGCTTTAAGACTTGAGTCTTAGGATGTATTTTTCAGCCTAAATTAATTACAATAATAATAATGATATCTTAAATCTTTCGATTTCGAGAGTGTTAATGCTTTTGTTAAGACCAAAAACTTTTATGCTATTTAACGAAATTTTTGTTTTCTGTAGTCATCACTCGGTCATGTTACGGTTGTAGATAAAAGTTAGATACAATTCACAAGGGTAGAGAAAGGGGGCGCTCTGATTGCGTTATTATGTGAAATAATAAAAGAAGTTGCTTGTCATTACTTATACGAATTATTAATAATTGATAGATTATGCAACGAGATGTCAATGGCAGGAGGTATTACATATTTTACATTTATATAGCGTTCCAATTAAACGCACGTGTAAAGGTAAGGCATTTAATTGTTGCATAAGGCAGAAGTTCTTTATTTCTATTCTTTTTTTTTTTAAATCACTCAACACGTAATCAAAGCTGCGCACTTCTTGCGTAATACAACATGACGAAGTTCTGCTCAGAATGTCTATTAAGTTAAATTATTTCCTGTTATCGCAGGTATGAAAATTGCAATACTTAACTGAACTATATCAGCATTATTGCTGAAATAATAAAAAACACCGCCGTCATCATTATCCTAAGCACTATTTACCTCATTTTTATCTAGTGGTTATGTTATTAGTAGCAAACATATTTGAAACGCATTAAAAGTGTATGCGGGTATGTATTAATTGCAATATCGAAATATGATAATTGTATTCTCTTTTGGTCGATTTAATGAATTTTCCGTTTACTGCTAACGTTTACAAAATTTCCTAGTTTAATAAAACCGCTAATCAACGAGGCAACCAATGAAAGTCTTCGTTAGAGAAGAGATTTAATTATTTCTTTCTGGATGCGTTTTACTTTTATTTTACTTGTAAGATGTAGGAGTAAATTAGATTTTACGTTTTTGTCTGTAGATTACGAATAAAGTAGAATCATGAAAAGCAAATACACTCCTCCGAATATAATATCAGGTACCTGTGTATATGTTAAAAGCGTAATCCTCTAACACAGCGAAGCTTGCCTCTAGCCTTTTTGCTATTCTTCTAACCTAATACTATTTCCGGTTGCGTTAACCTCCCACATGACCTAAAGAGTTCACTTCATGCTTCCAATATAGATACGATGATCAGAAGTCAGTCGGTTTATGCCTACACATCTCTTAGAGATTTTTAACCAAATTCTCCATTTGAATCAACCCTAGACATATCTAAGGATGATAGCATTCTAAATCCAGTTGGTACTAATCGCGCACGCTTGCTATCAAGTAGCGTTGAATAGTTGGGAAATTGATTTACATGTGTTGTATGTACTTCTGGACTAAATTTTCATTGTAAGCTTATTTGAATTGTGCCACATGCCGTATGTATTTTTTACACGAATTTCTAAGGAACGCATCTATCCTGTAGAGAAAGCGTAGCGAGTACTTGTTTCATAGTCGACATAGCTTTATTTGTATAACGTTTTGTTGTTTCTCATTTCCTTTGGTTAGTTTTTTCTTTCCTTATTCACAACTAAGTTGGCGAACGGCGATTCAAGCAGAAACTCAAACATCTTCCGAATTTGTTTGTGCCCTTCACTTCGGAATGGAAGTTGCGTTAATTAGGGAAGAATGAGTTTTCAAAATCCGGATGAACAGTTTGAAGTTTTTAGAACATGTGTATAAATAAAAATGCTCCGTTGCCGTTTTCTTAATTGTCCTTATCTTAAATGCATTCGAAAATGCAGTCATAACCTGAAAAAGCTTATTTCTGTTAGTCTTTCATTTTTTTTTTTTTATATATTTAGCTTTGCAAATTTTCATCCAATCCTCGTACTATCTCTTCAACGTCTAACTTATTAGAGTTGATTACAAATTTCTCTCTTGATTGTAATTTTTACTCCAAAGTTACGCCAAATAGTTATAGAAAGGATTTCGTTTTTCGATTCATCGCAGTTTATTACCATTACCAAAGATTCAGGAATAAACACATATTGAGACAACATACACACTTAATCTACTTTTGTAAAAAATAAATTTGATGATTTCCTTTTTAAAAGTTCTGCCTTCCACCTCCAGCTGCGGTTTACGAGTCGAGATTGTTTAAATTCTATATACAGCTTGACTATTCAATTCTGTTTTCAGAATTCATGTTATATTTTGAAGCTATTTGTTTATTTTGCTTTTCTGAGTTTTCTCTTTTAATTAGTGTTTTTAAAGCGTTCTTTATCCAATACCGTAACGCTACAACGTCAGTGTAAACATCGGGAAAATTTTGGGCTCCACAACCAGCACCCCACGATGCTATACCCACCAGCTCGCCTTTTACTACTAAAGGACTACCGGAATCACCAGCACAAGCAGCTTGATCTAAGGTTTCAGCGCAAATCATAGTTTCAGTTATGAAGACCCTATAAATATTCCGGCCGAATGACGCACAATCTTTACTATCTATATAGCGTACGGTAGCTTTTCGAAGATGTGCAGATGTACCGTTCGCTCCAAAAACTGTTGTACCCCAACCAGACACCACCGCTCGAGCGCCTGTGCGTGGTCTCTTTTTAGCCAATTTTATATAGCGTACGTTTTTCGTTTGATAAACAGGTTTGCTTATTTTTAATATAGCGATATCGTAAATTGGTACTATTGAAAACTTGTACCTATAGTGCAGGGTAAAATTTTTAACTCCTACTAAACGACCTCCCTTCGAGTAATAGGTAGAACCTAAGCGGACTTTTGTTTCATGGGGTTCTATGTCATCAAAGCAATGAGCCGCAGTTAAAACGATAAATTTATTTATTATACATCCACCACAAATATGTTCGTTTGCTTTAGTTTGAATGGATACTTGATAAGGATGCGATCTAATGAAAGTCTCTTCACCACTAATTATTCGTTTCGTCCATTGCCAAGCATGTGTTTCAACAAAGGCAACGCATAGCAATGTTACTATTACAGTTAAATGAAACATAAGCTAATCATATAACTATTTTTTAGTTTTGCATATACTTTTCGTTCACTAAGCAATTTTTTTTTCTTTTAATATTCATTAAGAGCAGGAAAAAAATTTTTTTATGTTTTTGAGTATGATAAGTAAACATTAAAAACAATTTTGCACTTAAAACAAAAACTTACTTCAATTTTAAAATACTTAACGAGTTTGTTTCACAGGGTATATGAAAAGAAAATTTATTCGTCAATGTCATGCTTTCAAAGGTATTTAACTGCTAATGAAGTTGTTTGGTATGCTTCTTTTTTCTGTTAAAAACTTGTACTGCATCATCTTTTCATAATAACTTCTGCATTTTTCAAAGCGAATGTATTTTGAAATTAAATTTTTTTTTGCTCAATTAGTTTTTGATGTGTTTCTCTAAGAAAACATCCTCTCTGTGGCCCTATAATCAAAAATTTTGGGTAACAGAAGTTGTAGGCCCTGATAAAATAACTACTCAGAGAACTATTAGAACCAATTAGGAGACTACAGCTGGATGAAACGTCCGCATGGCTAACGTCCATCAACTTAACTGTGGCGTATTGTACATGAGCTTTTCACCGCTTCCGCAACATTTATTATCGCTAAGTTCCCAATTTCCTTTAAAGTTGAATTTATCTTGCGATTTACACAAGATCGATAAGATCGATGAGAATACCGTCTTTATCGATTTAAAACGTAATTTAAAAGTGTGCGGTAGAAATGCATCGCTGAGGAGGTAACTGCAATATAAACAAACATTAGCGAACGACATGGAATATGTGACACTATCATTGGAAATTGTTACAATCATATATTTGTCTATTTATTCCGCCTATTAGATTCCGCCATATTAAGCGCCAATCTTAAGGCTGAAGGGCCTAAATTACATCATTATAAAGAGGATTATCAAAGCACAGCAAAGTTAACAGGTTTCAGTTTCAAAGTACAAGTTGTAGTAGTTTGCTTAGAATATTTTTATGCTTAAGTAAAGTCGAACTATGACATTGTATATCAAGCAAAAAAGTACTAAAGGCTTAACTGTCTATGCAAAGTATTAAAGGCGGACATAAGTCTACGTCCTACTACTACGTAACTATCTTATTATAATTACTTATAATGTCTGGTCCACAGCAAAGAGATTCGAACCCGCGATGGCAGTCGCAAGCCTGTCCATTGCATTATGCTTTGCCCATTTGTAATAATCAGGAAAGTTAAGTGATATGTGATGAACAATTAGCCAACTATCTTGGATGAAAGGAGTTTTACTTTACACTGATGAAAATTGCATGAATGCCAGAGATATAAAACAATTTTCTCTCTGTATGCAGTGATGTGAAAAGCCCTTTAGAAAACCTAATTTAAGTTCCCTTTAGCTGCATAACTTCATTTTGAGTGGAATTATTCGCTAAGTACTTTTAAAGTAAAGGAGTTGCAATAATATTCTCTTATTATTGTTTAATTAATTTGTAAGTATTCAATAAATAAAATTGCTTTCGCATTCTAAAAAATTGACGGCGCGAACTTTCGAGGTGATGCTGACAGCTTGAGGATTGAAGAGACTATCCATATCAATAGTCTTCTCATACTCAAAACATCCGTTAAGAGATTATTTGCTGTTCGATCTGATATGCGTAAGGCTTCGAATAAACCATTTTAAATTATGCGGAATTTTTCCATTACAATGCCTCGTTTAGTAATAATTCTTCTTGAACGTCCAGAGTGGGTCTTCATTTGATATGCCTGCATCGGTCATTTTATATCGTGTTTGTACATTTTTATATGGGTTGACTTGGTAATGGACTTTACATCTTAAATATATAAAAGAAAAATGGAATTGGCCCCAAGCGACTGCCTTAAGGGACGCTTGATAACACAAGAAGTTTAAGCGCGTGAAAAGAGTCAAAAATCACTCCAAACGATGAAAGCAAACGGGATGACCGCAGCATCGTACCACAGAATATCGTCGTCGTATTTTTCATGGTATTTCAAAGCTTTGACACCCACGACTATTCCACCTTTGTTCTTTTACGTAGAGCCCAAGCTCACCTTCAATTCAGAAGGGTGTCTATCAGTTACACAATGAGCGGCCGTCACTACAATGTCCTCACTGATGATGCTACCACCGCAGAAGTGACTTCCACTGTTGGC